AAAACAGAGTAGGAGACTTCACTACCCAACTTTCAATAACAGATAAAACAACCAAACAAAAGATGAATAAGGCGACAGAGTATCTGAACAATACTATAGGCCAACTGGACTTAACAGACATATACATAACATTTCAGCCACCAACAGCAGAAAATAAATTCTTCTCAAGTACACATGAAACATTCTCCAAGACAGACCACGTTAATCTACAAAACAAGTCCTAACAAATTCAAGAAGACTGAAATTATATAAAGTTATATAAAGTATCTTTTCAATCACAATAGAATGAAACAACAACCACAAGAACAACAACAAAAAACTGAAAAATCCACAAATCAGTAGAAATTAAACACCACGCTCTTAAACAAAGCCAAAGAAAATGTAACAAGGAAACTTAGAAGAATTCCTTACTAAAACACAACACGCTAAACTTCTGGGACGCAGTGAAAGCAGTCATAAAAGGGAAGGGACACACGCACATTAAAAAAAAAAAAAATCTCAAATCTATGTAATACCTCAAAGAACTAGAAAAACAAAAGTTACACCCAAAGCTAGCAGAAGAAAGAAAATTTTAAAAAGATGAGAGCAAGCATAAACGAAAGAGAGAATACAAAAACAATATGAAAAAGCTCAATAAAAACAGGACTTGGGCCACACATGGTTGCTCACGCCTGCTACCCCAGGATTTTGGGAGGCTGAAGCGGGTGGATCACTTGAGGCCAGGAGTTTGAGACCAGACTGGGCAACATGGTAAAATTTTTTGTATTCCATACAAAAAATACAAAAATTAGCCTGGCATAGTGGCAAATGCCTGTAGTCCCAGCTACTTGGGAGGCTAAGACAGGAGGATCATTTGAGCATGGGATGTGGAGGCTGCAGTGAACTGAGATCACACCATTGTACTCCATCCTGGGTGAGAGGATCACTCAAGCCCAGGGTGTTGAGGCTACAGTGAGCCAAGCCATGATCAGACCACTGCATTCCAGCCTGGGTGACAGAGTATGACCCTATCTGAAATAAATAAAATAAGAAATTCAATTAAAATAATAAAACAAAATAAAATTACACAGGACTTGAATTAGACATTTCTCCAAAGATGATAAACAAATGGCCAACAGGCATATGAAAATATGGCTGGCCAGGTGTGGTGGCTCACACCTGTAATCCCAGTACTTTGGGAGGCCAAGGCAGGTGGATCAGCTGAGGTCCGGAGTTCGAGACCAGCCTGACCAATATGGTGAAACCCCATCTCTACTAAAAATGCAAAAATTAGCCAGTCATGGTGGCAGGCGCCCATAGTCCCAACTACTTGGGAGGCTGAGACAGAACTGCTTGAACCCAGGGGCGGAGGTTGCAGTGAGCCAAGATCGCACCAATGCACTCCAGCCTAGGTGAGAGAGTAAGACTGCATCTCAAAAAAATATAAATATGATCAACTTCACTAATCATCAGGGAGTATGCAAATCATAACTACAATAAAATATCACCCATTAGGATGGCTACTCAAAAAATAAAAAAAAAAAACCAAAAACTCAGAAAATAACAAGTGTTAGTGAGGTTTTAGAAAAATATGAACTCATGTGCACTGCTGGGTGGAACTGTAAAATGGGGTGACTGCTATGGAAACCAGTAGGGCAGCTCTTCAAAAAATTAAAAATAGGATTACCATATGACCCAGCAATTCCCTTCAGAAGATATATCTAAAAGAACTGAAAACAGGATCTCAAAGAGACAGTTACACACCCATGTTTACAGCAGCATTATTCACAATAGCCAAGAGGTTGAACGCAACCCAAATATCTATCAACAAATGAATGGATAAACAAAATGTGATCTATAAATACAATGGAATATTAAGCCACAAAAGGAAGAGAACTCTGATACACAGTACTACATGGATAAATCTTAAGGACATTAATATTAAGTGAAATAAGCCAATGACAAAAAGACAAAAATTATGTGATTGCATTTATATGAGGTATCCAGAGTAGACAAATTCATAGAAACAAAGTAGACACACACACCTATAATCTTGGCACTTAAGGAGGCTGAGTGGGAGGATCGCTTGCATCCAGGAGTTGAGACTAGCCTGGGCAACAGCAAAACTCCATGTCCACAAAAAAAATTGTTTTATTTTTATTTTATTATTTACTATTTTGAGAGAGAATCTCACTTTGTCTTCCAAGCTGGAGTGCAATCACAGATCTCGGCTCACTGGAGCCGCCACCTCCCAGGTTCAAGTGATTCTCACGTCTCAGCCTCCGGAGGAACTGGGATTTCAGGCAGGCACCACTATGCCCAGCTAATTTTTTTTATTTTTTAATAGAGACGGGGTTTCACCATCTTGGCCACGGTGGTCTCAAACTCCTAGCCTCAAGTGATCTAAGCACCTCAGCCTCTCAAAATGCTGGGATTACAGGCATAAGCCATAGCACCCAACCTAATTTTTTTTAAAAGAAAAAAAAAAGTCAAGGCCAGCCTTGGCAACACAGCAAGACCCCATATCTAAAATAATAATAATTTTTAAAAAGTTAATTAGCTGGGTCCAGGTGCAATGGCTCATGTTGTAATCCCAGCACTTTGGGAAGCCAAGGCAGGAGGATCACTTGAGGCCAGGAGTAGTTCAAGAGCAGCCCTGAGAAATTCTGTCTCTACAAAAAATAATTTAAAAAAAAAAAAATTAGCTAGATGTAGTGGCACATACCTGGAGTCCTAGCTACTTGAGAGGCTGAGGCAGGGGGATCCAGGAGGATCCCTTGGGCCCAGGAGTTAAAGGTTGCAGTGAATGATGATTGTGCCCTTGCATTCCAGCCTGGGTGACGGAGCAAGACCTCATTTTCATAAATCAACTTTTAAAAAAAGAAAGTAGGAGTAGTTACAAGGGTCTGGGAAAGGGGCATATGCAGCGTTCTTGTTTTACCAGCATAGAGTCTTAGTTCTGCCAGATGCAAAAGTTCTGGAGATCAGTTTCACAACAATGTAATTGCACTAAACATAATCATACACTAAAAATAGTAACAATATGGCCAGGCGCAGTGGCTCAAGCCTGTAATCCCAGCACGTTGGGAGGCCGAGGCTGGTGGATCACGAGGTCAAGAGATCGAGACCATCCTGGTCAACATGGTGAAACCCCGTCTCTACTAAAAATTAGCTGGGCATGGTGGCACATGCCTGTAATCCCAGCTACTCAGGAGGCTGAGGCAGGAGAATTGCCTGAACCCGGGAGGCAGAGGTTGTGGTGAGCTGAGATCACGCCATTGCACTCCAGCCTGGGTAACAAGAGCGAAACTCCATCTCAAAAAAAACAAAAAAAACAAAAGTAACAATATTATGTGTTTTATTACTTTTTTTTTTTTTTTTTTTTTGAGACAGAGTCTCACTCCGTCACCAGGCGCCAGGCTGGAATGCAGTGATGTGATCTCGGCTCACTGCAACCTCCGCCTCCCGGGTTCAAGCGATTCTCCTGCCTCAGCCTCTCAAGTAGCTGGGACTACAGGCGCGTGCCACCATGCCCAGCTAATTTTTGTATTTTTAGTAGAGACCAGGTTTCACCATGTTGGCCACGATGGTCTCAATCTCTTGACCTCATGATCCGCCTGCCTTGGCCTCCCAAAGTGCTGGGATTACAGGCGTAAGCCACTGTGCCTGGCTATTACAATTTTAAAAAAGAAAAGGCTGGGCGAGGTGGCTCACACTTGTAATCCCAGAACTTTGAAAGGCCGAGGCAGATGGATCACCTGAGGTCAGGAGTTCAAGACCAGCCTGGCCAGCATGGCGAAACCCTGTCTACTAATAACACAAAAATTAGCCGGGTGTTGTGGCAGGCACCTCCAGTACCAGCTACTTGGGAGGCTAAGGCAGAATTGCTTGAACCCAGGAGAGGGAGGTTGCAGTGAGCCAAGATCATGCCATTGCACTCCAGCCTGGGCAACAAAGTGAGACTCCATCTCAAAAAAAAAAAGAAAACTACTGACTAATATCTCTCATAAACATAGATGCAAAAATGCCTAATAAAATATTAGCAAACTGAACCCAATAATGTTTAAAAATGACTTTTTTAAAAAAAGGAGTTTTTACAGATGCCCAGCGACACAACTTTGTGTCACTCCATGAGGAAAAGAATCCCTTAAGCGCAGGATGGGGATGCTGCCCTGGGAGCAACACGAGGCAGGAGGAACACTCCAAAGGCCATTCATCACAGTGGATGTGAGGCGTGACTCCAGAGGTGCTCAGCCACAGACCCCATTCTCCAAAGGCAAATGATCAGATCGCATGATAGGTATTGACAGAAATAATGGACATCTAAATCTTTTTTTTTTTTGAGACGGAGTTTCGCTCTTGTTACCCAGGCTGGAGTGCAATGGCGCGATCTCGGCTCACCGCAACCTCCACCTCCTGGGTTCAGGCAATTCTCCTGCCTCAGCCTCCTGAATAGCTGGGATTACAGGCATGTGCCACCATGCCCAGCTAATTTTTTTGTATTTTTTTTAGTAGAGACGGAGTTTCACCATGTTGACCAGGATGGTCTCGATCTCTTGACCTCGTGATCCACCCGCCTTGGCCTCCCAAAGTGCTGGGATTACAGGCTTGAGCCACCGCGACTGGCCTGGACATCTAAATCTTAATGACACCAGAGCTAAGGAAAAGAAAGAAGACTCAACAGTCAGTCTGGGAGTGTCTGGGAAGGACAGCGGTGCTGCAGAGGGCTGTGTGGTAGCTTTGAGGATTCAGACCACTCCCAACCACAGTTCTCTACCTACAAGTAAAACAAATTCTCTAGACCTCACATTCCTGTCAAATAATGTGATTTTTTTTAAAAGTAAAATGATGTGATTAGTTAGTTCCTGGTAGCCCTAACATTCAAAATCTGAAATAAACATTCCAGACCCTCTAAATAGCTGAGTCCTCAATTTTTATCCTTGCGTTCTCCAAATACTCAAATCATGACACAGGAGAGTTTGCTGCATTATATTCACTGCACTCATCCATGTCTAATATACCTGACGTGGAAGCTTATTTAGTGACCTCAGGTAGTCTTTGTCCAGAATACAGTTTCCAAGTGCATTCCCAAAACTCCTAAGGGTGAGAGGGAAAAAAAAAATGAAATGGTTAAGATTTGCTACACGTGAGTATCAGAGAACAGAGTTACAACTTTTGTGCAGGCTGCTTCTCAGGTGCAGCAGAGGAAATGGACCCCGAAGTGCATTCCACCGCTGTCTGGGAGGCACCTGCCGTGTCCCTGCACTGTGTTAGTTTCTGAGAATACTGCAGCGAGAACAAGACATAAATCCCTGCCCACAGAGAGGTGATGAGTATGAAAAGATTAAGGCGCCACTCACAAAACCCATTAGCCACCTCCTGACATGGAGAACAAATTGCAGAAATTTTTTTCCCCCAAAAAACTGCTCCAATTTCCCAGCAGGAGTAGGCAACACACACCTGGGGCCTGGGGCTCGAGGGCACAACCTTCTATGACCAAAGTTATTAACATGGGATCTATGGACTTCCCCACAGAATTCACAGGTTTTTCTGGTTCAATTCACTTTAATTCTCAAAGACACTGATATGGTTGGATGTCTGTCCCCTCCACATTTTATGTTGAAATGTGTCCTGGATCATGGGGTAGATCCCGCATGAACAGCTTACTGCCATCCCTTGGTGGTAAGTGAGTTCTCACTCCGTTCATAAGAGATCTGGTGGTTTTGAGTCTGGGGGCTGGGCATGACAGCTCATGCCTTTAATCCTGGTACTTTGGGAGACCAAAGCAGGAGAATGACTTGAACCAAGGAGTTTGAGACCAGTCCAGGCAACATAGGGAGACCCTGTCTCTACAAAAAAAAAATTAAAAATTAGCTGGGCATGGTGTCATGTGCCTGTGATCCCAGCTACTCGGAAGGCTGAGGCAGGAAGATCACTTGAGCCCAGAAGCAATGATAGCTGCACCCTAGCCTGTGCCAACAGAGTAAGAGCCTGTCTCAAAAAATGAAAAAAATAAAATTTAAAAGCCTGGGACCTCTTCCCTCTCTTTCTCTCTCCATGTTCCCTCTTCACCTTCTGCCATGATTAGAAGCTTCCTGAGGCCTTACCAGAAACGGATGCTGGCACCAGGCTTCCACTACAGTCCACAGAATCATGAGCCAATTAAACCTCCTTTATTTATAAATTACCCAGCCTCTGGTATTCTATATAGCAATGCAAACGGACGAACACAGACATCCATGTGACTATGTGACCAAGTGAACTGTGCTACCTATGCACAGCGGAGGGCTAGTGAGGCACACAGAGAGGATGAGGGTGCTGTCTATGCACTCACAGTAGGGGTGGAAAGGTCTCCCACACATTCTGACTATGGGGAGAAGAGAGAATACAGGATTCTTCCACTTATTCCCTGCAGGGGAAGGCTGAAGCTGAAACACAAAAAAGACTAACAAAAGTGGGAAAACAGGGCAGACAGGAACCAGGACAGGGCTGACACTTATCTTCCATGTTGCTTAGATTTTTGAACCATGTGAATGTATTACCTTTTCCAAAAAACAAAACCGAAACTTGCTCTGAAGCAAGAGCTGAGATGACGCAGGTTAGACTCCCAGCCTCACGCTCACCTGAGGGCTCGCTTCAGCCCGTCTGTGACTGCCTCCTTTCTTGCCTTCTCCAAAGATAAGGCCTTGGACTTGAGGCCCTCACTAACACCATAACCAACGTCTTCATGATATGAACCATCCTGGGGGCACAAAAGGAGTTCAAACTCAACAAGAGAACAGCAGGCGCACCACAACTCCCCCTTTCCTCAAGCAGAAAAGTTCAAACCAGGAATATACCACCCAGTGGCCTTGCTACAGCAGGCACGGGCAGAGGCCAGATGAGATTCCATTTCCGGTACTGCTTCCTAGACCTGGTCTGCCTGGATGGACATGAGCCTGTGGTCAAGGTGTCAAGACAATCCTTCCTTCCCAACTTCCCTGACACACAAAGGGCACATTAGAAACCCACCCCAAATCCTATCAAGGTGCATTACCCTACGGTTAAAAATCTCTGGGATGGCCAGGTGCAGTGGCTCACGCCTGTAATTCCAACACTTTGGGAGGCCAAGGTAGGTGGATCACTTGAGGTCAGGAGTTCAAGACTAGCCTGGTGAACATGGTGAAACTCCATCCCTACTAAAAATACAAAAATTAGGTATGGTGGTAGGTATCTTTAATCCCAGCTACTCAGGAGGCTAAGGCATGAGAATCACTTGAACCCGGGAAGCAGAGGTTGCTGTGACCCAAGATTGTGCCTCTGCACTCCAGCCTGGGCGACAGGGCAAGACTCCACCTTGAAAAAAATACCTTCTCCTGCCACACACTGATCTTTCTGGGCAGCAGGTCTACTGCATCCCCCTCACCTTCAGCTGGACCCTCACAAATGCACAAACTCCGACGTAGAACTTGCCATTATTCAGGTCAACAAAATCTAGGAGTGGGAAAGAAAGCAAGTTGAAGAGGACACTGAGCCCGGTGCCACAACCATTCCTCCTGCTGGCAACTAAGTCCACCTACCTTACCTCCTCACCCACAACATCCCTTCACCAAGAGTCAGACAATGCAGAAATCCCCAGTGCTGGAGCGCAAACTCACCCACATTCTGCTGCGTGATGGAGTGTGCCCAGCCATTGTAACCAAACATCTCATTGGCCAGATTAATTACCCGATGACCCTCAATGTAACACACCTAGAAAAAAAATTGTTTTAAAGAAAAGCTGTGTTAATTCCTTACCACATTTAAATGTGAATCAAAATTTACATAATGTATTCCTCATCTACTTTTTTGGATAAACTGCCCTTAAACATTCTACTTGGGAGGCTGAGCTGGGAGGATCACTTGAGCCCAGGAGCTCAAGGCTGCAGTGAGCTATGATTATGCCACTGCACTCCAGCCTAGGCGAGAGACCCTTAAGGAAAAAACAACTTTTTTCAAGAAAATTCTCAATGAATTTATTTTTAAAATCTTCTAGATGGAGCCTGAGAGAACTAACGGTCTGTTGGGAGGAGGAACTAGACTCAGAGGAGAAAGACAGCCACTCATGCAGCAGTTGGTAAAATTCAGTTTGCAAAAAGTAAAAATCTGTTTGATATTTTATGGAAGACCAAAAATATACACAGAAGTTAAAATTAGAAGCAAATGATATGCAATTATGTGTCAATTATAAGTTCTTTGAAAATTACTTAATTTAAAAAGAAAAAAAGAAGCAAATGGCAAAAGGAACACTTATTTTAATGGTATAAAAGCTGGGCACAATGGCCCATGCCTGTAATCCCAGCACTTTGGGAGGCCAAGGTGGGAGATGACTTGAGCCCAGCAGTTCGAGGCCAGCCTGAGCAACATAGTAAGATGTCATCTCTAAAGAAAATTTAAAAATTAACCAGGCATGGTGGTTTAAATTTAAAAATTAACCAGGCCTGTAGTCCCAGCTAGTGAGGAAGCTGAGGTAGGAGGATCACTTGAGCCTGGGAGGTGGAGGCTGCAGTGAGCTGAGATGGCACCACTGGACTCCAGCCTGAGTGACACAGCAAGACCCTGTCTTTAAAATTTTTTTTTAAAAAGATGATGTAAAAATCCTAAGATGGCGGTTATGCAAGTATCAAGACCATGCTTGGACCCCTTCAAATGAAAATGAAGTCTAGAACCCGTCCCCTCCCGGGGGCACTGGGAAACCTCCAGGAACAGTTAACAAGAGCCTTCGGAATCCCTGAGGACCCAGAGAGGGAGCTGGCAAAACCATCTAAGTCTGTTGTATGGATACCTGCTTTCCAGGCACATCAATTCTCCTACCTTCTGGCCTCCTCCAGCCATGCGGCTACTTATGTATTCTGGGCCCAGCCTCTGCCTCAGGGCCTTCTGGATGGCCTGGTACTCTTCTGCTGTGTACTGGTGCTGCAATCCCAAAAATGAAAATTAAATTCACACTTCCGCCATTTCTCACATCACTGATTCTCCAGCTTTTTGGCCTTAGGACTCCTTTATACTTTTAAAAAGTAGCAAAGACCCACCCCTCCTCCCCCACAACCTTTGTTTATGTGGGTTATATTTACCCTAATAGGAATTAAAACTGAGAAACTTTTAAGGCATACATGCCACTAGGCATCATAGCAGTGACATCACATATCATGCAGTCTCTGAAAACTCTACCATTCACTCATGAGACAATGATTGTGAAAGAGGCCAACAGTATTATTAAGAAGATAATTTTGACCTCCTGGACTCTGAAAGATCTTCAGAAACCCCAGGGGTTCCAGGACCACATTTTGAGAACTGCTGCCTTAGCTGTTGCTACCATCCTTATAAATGTTTCTGAAGCGTAGGAAACTAAAATATCCTGCCTACAGATCTGTAAATGACGTCAGCACAGGAAGCAAGTACGGAAAGAGCACAGGGACAGGAAGCCTTGCTTCCATTTGTCCTTTCCAGAGACTGACACCTTCTCCAACGCAACAGTTTCCCATCCTGCACAAACAGAAACACACTACTGCTTGCTGGTTTGGGTTGTGTACCCCTTGCCCTAATCGGATGAGATGAATACTCACAAACAACCCTCTGGCAAAGACAAAGGTGGAGATTGAGTGGAAAAAACAAGAATCTCTTTTCTATGCACACAATGTCCCTACAAGTAATATGACCCCCAGTAACTTCCCGTGCCTCCAAGACAGACAACTGGGGCCAGGCGCAATGGCTCCAGCACTCTGGGAGGCCAAGGTGGGCAGATCATGAGTTCAAGACCAGCCTGGCCAACAAGGTGAAACCACGTCTCTACTAAAAATATGACAAATTTAAGGCCAGGCATGGTGGCTCATGCCTGTAATCCCAGCACTTTGGGAGGCAAAGACGGAGAGATTACCTGAGTTCAGGAGTTCAACACCAGCCTGGCTAACCTGGTTAAACCCCATCTCTACTAAAAATACAAAAATTAGCTGTGGTGGTACATGCCTGTAATCCCAGCTACTTGGGAGGCAGAGGCAGGAGAATTGCTTGAATCCAGTGGGTGGAGGCTGCAGTGAGCCAAGATCATGCCACTGCACTCCGGCCTGGGTGACAGAGCAAGACACAGTCTCGAAAAAAAAAGAAAAAGAAAGAACTGGGTGGCATGCAGACAGGAGCAATTGAAAACAAGGGGACTTTTCAGTTTCATTTTGAATTTAATGTCATACAAATATGTTATCTACTCAAAAAATAAACTTAAATCTAAATCTAATCCCCAGTACTATCAGTCTTTTGATAGCTAATATTCCAAAATGTCCTCCAGAGTTCACAAAAGACCTCCAAATAATGCATCTAAAGGAAGAACCAGTAAAAACAAATAGCTCACACATGTACCACATATAGATGTACTATGTACTGCTCACACATGTATGTACTATGATGCTCTACAAACTGCCTTGCCCTGACTTTACTCACTTAACCTCATTCCTTCCAGGGATGAAGGAACCACAGTTACCTGTCCAAAGCATAACGCCGAGCTGCCGCCAGCAGCAGGATGGCTGTCACGCCCTCCAAGAATTGCTTCCTCAGTCCCAGACATCTTGATTCTGGTTGACTTCTATATAAATAAAAGAATTTTTTAAAAATCTCAAACAATGTTTAAAGGCAAGAGTCTCTACTGAAAAATCACATAAAGCATCCATATGCAACATCCTATGAGTTATTTATAAACTACTAAGCACTGTTCCAATCTAGAAGAGTTCTTCAGTGGTTAGCTACAGTCTCTCAAGCTGCTGAAGATCCTTTAAGGTTTGCTTCTACCTTTCTATAAACATGTTTGCTATTGTGGTGGTGCTATTAAAGGTGACTTTTACAATGAGAATATATTACATTTGTAACTATAAAATCAAAATTACAAAAATACTCTTTATGGGAAAGCAAAAAACTTACTATAAGCAGGGTACAGTGGCTCACGCCTGTAATCCCAGCACTTTGAAAGGCCGAGGTGAGTGGATCACGAGGTCAGGAGTTCAAGACCAGCCTGGCCAACATGGTGAAACCCGTCTCTACTAAAAATACAAAAATGGCCGGGCGCGGTGGCTCAAGCCTGTAATCCCAGCACTTTGGGAGGCCGAGGCGGGTGGATCACGAGGTCAAGAGATCGAGACCATCCCGGTCAACATAGTGAAACCCCGTCTCTACTAAAAATACAAAAAATTAGCTGGGCATAGTGGCACGTGCCTATAATCCCAGCTACTCGGGAGGCTGAGGCAGGAGAATTGCCTGAACCCAGGAGGCGGAGGTTGCGGTGAGCCGAGATCGCGCCATTGCACTCCAGCCTGGGTAACAAGAGCGAAACTCCGTCTCAAAAAAAAAAAAAAAAAAAAAAAAAAAAAAAATACAAAAATTAGCCTGGCATGGTGGCAGGCGCCTGTAATCCCAGCTACTTGGGAGGCTGAGGCAGAGAACTGCTTGAACCCAGGAGACAAAGGCTGCAGTGAGTCAAGCTTGTGCCACTGCACTCCAGCCTGGGCAACAGAGACTCTTTCTCAAAAAAAAAAAACAAATTTACTATAGGTTGAACATTGCTAATCCCAAAATACAAAATTAAAATGCTCCAAAATCCGAAAAATTTTGAGTGCCAACATGATGTGCTGTATCTCAAAACACAGGTGATGGCCAGGCATGGTAGCTCAGACCTATAATCCCAGCCCCCTGAGAGGCCAATGCAGAAGGACTGCTTAAGCCCAGGAGTTTGAGACTGGCCCAAACAGCAAAACCGCATCTATACAAAAAATTTAAAAATTAGCCAGGCACGGTGGTATGCTACTTAGGAAGCCAAGGTGGGAGGATTGTTTGAGGCTGCAATGAACTATGATCACCCCACTTCACTCCAGCCTGGGTAACAGAGCAAAACTGTCTCAAAAAAAAATAACCCAGGCCAGGCGCGGTGGCTCAAGCCTGTAATCCCAGCACTTTGGGAGGCCGAGGCGGGTGGATCACGAGGTCGAGAGATCGAGACCATCCTGGTCAACATGGTGAAACCCCGTCTCTACTAAAAATACAAAAAACTAGCTGGGCGTGGTGGCGCGTGCCTGTAATCCCAGCTACTTAGGAGGCTGAGGCAGGAGAACTGCCTGAGCCCAGGAGGCGGAGGTTGCAGTGAGCCGAGATCGCGCCATTGCACTCCAGCCTGGGTAACAAGAGCGAAACTCCGTCTCAAAAAAAAATAAAAAATAAAAAAAATAACCCAAAAAGGCAGGCACACAACACATAGTTTATTCAGCTTCTCCAAGAGAAAAATACAATCATCGGCTAGACGCAGTGGCTGATGCCTGTAATCCCAGCACTTTAGGAAGCCGCAGCAAGCAGATCACCTGAGGACAGGAGTTTGAGACCAGCCTGACCAACATGGTGAAACCACATCTCTATAAAAATACAAAGAAGCAATACTCAAAGTGTATTAGCTGGGCATGGTGGCGTACACCTGTAATTCCAGCTACTCGAGAGGCTGAGGTGGGAGAATAGCTTGAACCCAGGAGGCAGAGTTTGCGGTGATCCAAGATTGCACCACTGCACTCCAGCCTCGGTGATAGAGCAAGACTCCATTTCAAAAACAAAAAAAAGAAAACCTGCCAGGCACGGTGGCTTACACCTGTAATCCCAGCACTCTGGGAACCCGAAGCAGGCGGATCACGAAGTCAAGAGACTGAGACCATTCTGGCCAACATGGTGAAACCCTTTCTCTACTAAAACTACAAAAATTAGCTGGGCGTGGTGGCACATGCCTGTAGTCCCAGCTACTCGGGAGGCTGAGGCAGAAGAATCACTTGAACCCGAGATGGAGCTTGCATTTTGCCAAGATTGCACCACTGCACTCCAGCCTGGTTATAGAGCCAGACTCCATCCCCCAAAAAAAGAAAAAAAAAATTATTTTTAGGCTCTGAGTCTAAGATATATAGAAAACACATGAATTTCATGTTTAGACTTGGGTCCCATTCCCAAGATATCTGATTATGTATATGCAAATATTCCAGAATCTGAAGTCTAAAACACTTCTGTTCCCAAAGCATTTCAAAGAAAGAACACTCAACCTGTACTAGCTAAGAGGGTAACTCTGGGAGGTGGTGGATATGTGAATTACCTTGACTGTGGTAATCATTTCACAATGCGTTCACATGTCAAATCATCACATTGTATACCTAATATATACAATTTTTATTTGTCAATCATACCTCAATAAAGCTGGGAGGTAGGGGGAAAAAAAATCAAGCGAATGTGTTTTAAAGTTTTAAAAAAACAGCCGGGCACCACCTTGTAATCCCAGCACTTTGGAAGGCCAAGGCAGATGGATCACCTGAGGTCAGGAGTTTAGGACCAGCCTGGCCAACATGGTGAAAACCCTGTCGCTACTAAAAATTAAAAAAAAATAGCCAGACATGGTGGCACGTGACTGTAGTTTCAGCTACTCAGGAAGCTGAAGTGGAAGAATCACTTGAATCATGGATGAGGAGGTTGCAGTGAGCTAAGACAGCGCCACTGCACACTGACCTGAGTGACAGCGCGAGACTCCATCTCAAAAATAATAATAATAAAGTTTTTAAAAAACTTTACTTTGCCAGGTGCAGTGGCTCATGCCTGTAATCCCAGCACTTTGGGAGGCCAAGGCAGCCAGATCCCAAGGTCAAGAGATTGAGACCGGCTGGGCGCGGTGGCTCAAGCCTGTAATCCCAGCACTTTGGGAGGCCGAGGTGGGCAGATCACGAGGTCAAAAGATCGAGACCATCCTGGTCAACATGGTAAAACCCCGTCTCTACTAAAAATACAAAAAATTAGCTGGGCATGCTGGCGTGTGCCTAATCCCAGCTACTCAGTAGGCTGAGGCAGGAGAATTGCCTGAACCCAAGAGGCGGAGGTTGCAGTGCGCCGAGATCGCGCCATTGCACTCCAGCCTGGGTAACAAGAGCAAAACTCCGTCTCAAAAAAGAAAAAAAAAAGAGATCAAGACCATCATGGCCAACGTAGTGAAACCCCATCTCTACTAAAAATACAAAAATTAGCTGGGAATGATGGTGCACATCTGTAGTCGCAGCTACTCGGAAGGCTAAGGCTGAGGCTGAGGCAGGAGAATCGCTTGAACCCAGGAGGCAGAGGTTGCAGTGAACTGAGATCGCAGCATTGCACTCCAGCCTAGAAGACAGTGCAAGACTCCATCTCCAAAAACAACAACAACAACAATAAACCTCAACTTAACTGCTCCCTCCTATATAGGCAGCATGACCCTGATCACTACTGTGGAGTCAAAAAGAAACAGAAGCCACAATCACTGAAATGCTTTCCAGGAGCTAACAAGATGGCTGGAAGGAGGAGACTAACAGAAATGAAATGAATGAGAACAAGGAGCAGTGGATCACGCTTGTAATCCCAGCACTTTGGGAGGCTCAGGCAGGCAGATCACAAGGTCAGGAGTTCAAGACCAGCCTGACCAACGCAGTGAAACCCTGTCTCTACTAAAAATACAAAAATTAGCTGGGTGTAGTGGTGCACACCTATAAACCCAGCTACTTAGGAGGCTGAGGCAGGCCAATCACTTGAACCGGGGAGGCAGAGGTTGCAGTAAGCTGAGATCACGCCACTACACTCTAGCCTGGGAAACAGAGTAAGACTCTATCTCAAAAAAAAATGAAACAAATGAAAAGCAGGAGACCCCCAACATGCAAGAAGGCTCTATAGAGCAATAAGCCAGTAAGCCAGTTCACATCCTGGACCAGGAGCATCACCAATCACCTGTGAACCTGTTTTTTTGGTGTGCTTTTTTCGTATTTTTTGAGACAGAGTTTCGCTCTTGTCACCCAGGCTGCAGTGCAGTAGCATAATCTCAACTCAATGCAACCTCCACCTTCTGGGGTTCAAGAGATTCTTCTGCTTCAGCCTCCTGAGTAGCTGAGATTATACGTGCATGCCACCGTGCACAGCTAAATTTTGTATTTTAGTAGAGATGGGTTTCACCATGTTGGCCATGCTGGTCTCAAACTCCTGACATCAGGCAATCTGCTCTCTTCGCCTCCCAAAGTGCTGGGATTACAGGCGTGAGCCACCACACCCAGCCACCTGTGAACCTTTCAAAATGCAAATTCTCAGGCCCTACCCCAGAATTCCTGAATCAGAAATTCTGGGGGTGAGCACAGCCAGGCATGCTTTAAGAGCCAATGCATTTGACTGAGCCTATGCAAATTTTATAAAGTCCAATTAGAAAGCACACCTACCCTCGGAGCAATCATAGACAACTGGCCGAGCCCCTGCCTGAATACCCCTATAACTGCAAACGACAGTTTCAGTTGTGCCTCAGCAAATTTGCACATTACGAATCTTCAGATTAATTGCAAATAGCAGAACTACAAATTCATGATTGTCAAGTAGCATGGTGCTCTTCATGGCATTACAATAGTCCCCCCTCTTCTGGGCATAATTTTAAGTGGGAAAAAAATAGTCCTCCTTCATCCACAGTTTTTGTTACCCACAGTTCACACTCCAAAATTTCCCAGTGGAAAATTCCAGGAATAAACAAGTTATTAAGTGTTAAGTTGCATGCCATTCTGAGTAGCATGATGAAATCTC